TGCAACCTCCCAATAAATGAATAGGAATTTTCTGGAATTGAATCATAGCCTAATTTTCAAGTAAGATCTATACTTTGTCAATATTTATAAAAGTTAGTAAGAAGAGTTTCATACATGTATCTACTGTGCACGAAGTACGAAAAATACCTGTACAGTAGTTAATTTAAAACACAATTCATATGTGTTACATATGTGTTAGTATATAATAACAATATTTAATAATGAGAAATGTAATACTTCTCATCAATTGAATAGTCAAAAATTTATACATCCTAGAACTGCATGGATCTGAGCAGCACATTTTGGTTATACAGGTTTTTCCCCCAATCAATATTCCAATAAATAAATACTGTATTCCAATAAATACTGTGCTGCGATTGATCTCTAGGACATGACATGAGAAAGGCGGGGTAACACCTCTACTATAGGTGGCTTACCTATACTTCACCCCCCAAATTTTTCTGTTTCCCTCCCCAGGCCTTCCCATCTCTATTTATATAAGTATTTTGAACAGGAGTCTGGTACCCCTTACCGCAATGTTGTTGAAGGGAGAAGTATAATGTTGTTACCTATTCTAAAGTGACCTGGTCAATTGCAGAAAAACAAACTGAAACCTACAAATGCTGCTCAACAATTCCTCTTCTTCTTGAAACCTGTCTGAACTCAGAGACAACATGGCAAAATGATCAGGCAAGTTAATCAGTGTTTAATTTTTGTATGTAGGAACACCCATTATAATATTTGCAAGCTGACACTCAAAACTGTTGTTAAAGGGGAAATAGCCATTTGAGAGGTAACCAAGAACCGAAATTTCACTTTTAGAAAATAAAAACTGTACTAAAAAGATGAGAAGGCCAAGATGCAAAAGAAGAGATATAACACAATTTTCACCATTTCAGATATTAATAATCTCTTACATACACAGCATAAATAGTCTTCAGGCTTACAAGGTTATATATACTTTTCTAGGAGTAGGTTCCTTCAAACAGAATGGGAATTATTTCTGAGTTAACATGCATAGGACTGTGTGATTGGTACCTTTAATTTAAAACAATGTATTACAGTACTACACAAGGGATCATTATATTTTGGTATGGGCTACCTGTATTCATGGATAAGAGGCCATATTAGGTGAAATTCCATTTGAATTTCACAAACTTTACTCCACAGTGTCCACCTGAGCCAAATGCTCACAACAGGTTCATTTTTCTGACAATATTATGCAGTTACATGAGAAGCATACCACCATAGATCAAAACATGCTGACCACTATGCATATGTCAACATGCCTCTAGTAGTGCATACCCCAAACAGACCACAACCTCTAAAGTCAGGCCCTGTAAATCAGATCCAACATGCCTCTAGTAGTGCATACCCCAAATAGACCACAACCTCCACTATCTAAAGTCAAGCCCTGTAAATCAGATTCATTTATACTAGCTGAACAACTTAAACAGTCACACCAGATATATGTCAAACTACAAGACCACACCAGTGAAGGTGTGTGTGTGTGTGGGGGGGAGCAGATCAACAAGTTCCAAATGACATCCCAGAATAATCTACAGCAGAAATGCCCCAAAATAGTGGGGGAGCAAAACATTACTTACTGGCACCCTCAGTTCACTCCTCAAACCACTCAACAATGTGCCATTGCAGACAATAACACTCCAGAGACCTTGAATGACAGGCTTGTACAGTATTTGCTCACAGTCAGGCCCCAAATCTAAAACAATTATTCATCAGTAACAAAATACCATTAATAGGTTTGTAAAAGGTCCAGATTCACAACAGTCTAGCATTTCAGAATGTTAAGGTGACAGTATGCTATAACATCAAATGTTTAATGGTACATGGCTTTATTCTTCTAAGTTCTGTAAAATGTTAATTAAAACAATAGCAAAGTGGCAGACTGCTAGATTTTAGGTTACAGATCTCTGGAGTGACAAAGACTGCAGGAACAATACAATTTCTTGTTGAAAGCTTTTCATTTTTTCTAAGCTAAAATGCTCTGGATCTCCAGGCTCCTGAAAAAGAGATTTATAGATGGGGAGGGCATGTTTGTGGACAACTGAAAGAATTATAAATCTAGGAAGATTAAACACACAGACAGAGGAATTCATCACATCATTGCAGCTCCATACCACTTTGGGCATCAGACATCAAAGAGCAACAATCATGTAGCAGTGCAGAAGCTTCATTTCCAGATACCCACAACAATCAACATGGATTTTCCTACATAGATTCAAGCTAGTTTGGCTGGGTGAGCATTTAGAATTATTTTGTGTGTGTTCTTAATATGCTTAGGGCCTAAGACAGTTATTTTCTTTTATATTTTTTTCAACTCCTCTGATAATTTAAGAGGTGTATTCTTTGTCTTTTATTTTTAAATGTGCCTTTTTAAGGCAATAATCTCTTGCATTTTTAGAATGTAACTTAAAACATTATTTTTGATATTTTATTGTATTTTTGCTCCTGTATTTTGGACTGAATTCTGACTTACGTATTTGTCTGCAACTTAAGTTTAGTTTTGATATATTTTAAGCATTTATGGCTACAGTATTTCCATAGCTGTAAGACTGTTGAATATTTGAGATCTTATTTTTGACCTTATGAAACATAGAAGCGATGTAGAGAAATAAAACTTGCAGAATTAGACAAACTGATGTTGTTTGAAATTATTGCAACAATGGAAAGACTTACAAGTATACCCTGATGCTCAGATGAATTGTGACATGTTTATCAATTATTTTTTGCTTCATTCTGGAGTTAACCATTTTTTGGGATTACGCTAGTTATGACAGAACAAGCTTCTGATTTTTCCCTGGAGTTTTGTAGGGCTCTTAGGAAGGGTTCAGGTGTCAGTTTATCAGATCTGACACTATCATCTGCCAGCAATGACCTTCTGCATTCTATATGGGAAAAGCATGTCATTCTTGACCTAAAATAAGAAACGAACACAGAGCTGACACCAGATATGTCAGTTTTAAGATGGCACAGTTCAGGCCTGCAGTCTTCCATTCTGGAGCAAAAAATGTTCAAAGACTGCGATGTGAAATGGATGAACTTTGTCATCTCAAAAGTTTGAATTCTATTTCCAGTGGCATGAACAGCAACATTTTTTTTAAAAAAATCACACTATATGTGTTAATTATTAACTCAACAGGGCAATGATGTTTGTTCATTGACCCAGCAACGATTTTTGAATCCCTACTGCCAATAAGAAAATTATCACTGTACCTACTTCCTCCATTTCTCTCTCCTGTGATGTCATTGTTTACAATTCCCACAGATGCAGAAAATGCAGCTCTAAGACACGGTAACACTTCCTGTATCTAATGAAATGGACTCCAGGTCACAAAACATATTGCCATTATAAATTTGTTAACCCTTAAGCTACCAAAATACTTCTTGCACTATTTGCTACAAAAGTGTCCATCCTCACATGTCAACCCTTCTAGAAGAAAAAGTTGCTGGCCTCCACAGTGTCCTTAAAGGTTACACATTTGATATTTTATATGGGGGCTTCCTTTTAGATCTATCTAGAATCTGATTTGTGAAAGATAAGGAAAATTAGGAAAAAAAGTTATTGCAACAACAGAGGAGTTTTTTTTTACTGGAAACTCAATTTTCCACATTATGTTTTGCAACCCTGTATCAATTAAAGACAAAATCCAGCCATTAAATAAATTAAAGACAAAATCCAGCCAATAAATTCCACAGTAGCTCATGAAATACTATTAAGAGAGACTGGGGATCATATAATATGATGCCACAACACTTAACAGAAGTGACAGATTACATTTTCATACTGAGGGACAAGTACATCCTGAAAACATTCACTTGTGGAAAGGAATACCTTGTAGTATCAAAACTTCTAAGAATAAACCCAGCTTTGCCCTGATCCTGCCATTTCCCCTACTAAATAGAGGGATAAATAAATAACCAAAGATATTTCCATTCACACGAATGCAGTAGGAAATGCCTGCTTCCCAAACACCCCGATGGCTCTGAGAATGGCTTTTAGGGGGAGAACTGGGGCTTTTAAGGTTAGGTCGGCATTTGTTGTTGCTTTTTTTTTCGTGTACGCCACTGTGGTCATCTGTAAAAAGAGGTCGACGTGCGAGATACACAAACAACATCAAGACGAATAAAATAAAGTGCTCTAGGAGCAGAATGTAAGGTTTGCAACAGGAGACTTAAGAGAACCAAGATCCCCCCAGGAATTACGGGAAGCAATTAAGCAACGTTCCCGGCATCCGATCCCGTCATTACTATGGGATGGCTGAACTGTCAGTTACAATGCCAGGTCTGAGTTCGGTGTCGACCCCATCCTCCCACCCACCCCCCCCCCAGTGTAAGAATTACCAACGCACAACAGAATCATGCCTTTCACCCGGGTATCCCGGGTCGTCGGGAAGGGCGCGCACGAAGCCCCACCGGCCTCTCCTCCTCCTCCTCCAAGCTCACCTCCACGCTCGGGATCGCCGGGCACTTCTTCCGCAGCCGGCCCCAATTCAGCAGGTTGCCCGTCTGCAAATTGAGGGTGCCCGCTTGGGCCAGCAACATGCCGGCGCGGCCACTCTCGGTCCCCATGGGCGCCGGTCCGGATCGCTCCTATCTGTTCTGTAAAAAGAGGTCGACGTGCGAGATACACAAACAACATCAAGACGAATAAAATCAAGTGCTCTAGGAGGAGAATGTAAGTTTTGCAACAGAAGACTTAAGAGAAACAAGATCCCCGCCTCCCCAGGAATTACGGGAAGCAATTAAGCAACGTTCCCGGCATCCGATCCCGTCATTACTATGGGATGGCTGAACTGTCAGTTACAATGCCAGGTCTGAGTTCGGTGTCGACCCCATCCTCCCACCCACCCACCCCCCAGTGTAAGAATTACCAACGCACAACAGAATCATGCCTTTCACCCGGGTATCCCGGGTCGTCGGGAAGGGCGCGCACGAAGCCCCACCGGCCTCTCCTCCTCCTCCTCCTCCAAGCTCACCTCCTCGCTCGGGATCGCCGGGCACTTCTTCCGCAGCCGGCCCCAATTCAGCAGGTTGCCCGTCTGCAAATTGAGGGTGCCCGCTTGGGCCAGCAACATGCCGGCGCGGCCACTCTCGGTCCCCATGGGCGCCGGTCCGGATCGCTCCTAACCCCGCAGCGCTCCGAGAAGGAAGGACTCTGCGCTCGTCCAGAAAGCGGCGGAGAAGCAGGACCGCTCCAGCGGGCGGGCAGGCGGGCAGGCGAGCGAGCGAGGCTCCTCCGGCGAAGGGGCGAGGAAGGGGGGCACAATGACTAAGCGGGAAAAAAAGTGCTTCGTCACCGTCCCCGGTCACATGGCGCCGCAACAAAAAAAGAGCAGGGAGGGGCGGCGGCAGGAGAAAGCGAGCGCGAGCCTGAGCCTGAACCTTCCGCGCGGCGGCGGCGGCGGCGAGGAACTCCTTTGATCTCCACCTTGCCAAACCCCCAGCGGAGAGAGAGAGAGAAAACAAGGTCCTCCCATCAGTACGCATGCGTGGACAGCCGGCGCCTAGGCATGTGGATCGGTACGGCTTCCATTGCTTTCGGCTGCTCCCCCGGAGTACGTTTTTGAGCAGCGCCCCCTGCCGGTTCTGTAAGACCCAACCGCTCACGCAGAAACTCTCCCTTCCATCTCTTATTGCACTACTTCAAAAGCGATCCTAATCTACGGTATGTCAGGTACAGTATTTAATGTGTGGTTTACCACTCCCCGCCTTTTCAGGGAGTTTCCATGGCCAAGGGGCGATTTGAACTTCTTCTCCTGGGCCCCACTTCGTCAGGCTATCTGCACCGCACTGGCTCCAGTGTTCAAGCCCTCCAGATTTGATTCAGAGTACAGTACAGTATTACACTCTCATCGAAGCAACCAACATGAATTTGACCCAACTCCGGGAGGCAATGGAAGACAGAAGGGCCTGGCATGCTCTGGTCCATGGAGTCACAAAGCGTCAGACAACGACTGGACGACTGCACAACAACAATTACCCTCTCATCCTATCTTACCTAGGGTTGCCAGATGTCAGGCAAAAGGAGGACATGTCCTCCTTTTTAGCCTAATGTCCTCGGTCAGGGTCCATGGGGTCACGGAGAGTCGGACAACGACTGGACGACTACACAACAACAATTACACTCTCATTCTATCTTACCAGGCTGGAGAGGGATGATAGGTGTTGGAGTTTAATCATCTCTAGACGCCCCCACCCCACGACTCCCAGCCCTGAAACACACCAAAAAGTAGCATAATAATTTCCACTTTGTGCACCTCGTACCTTTTGCTGCCTATAATAATGTAAATGCATGGTGGAGGGGAGGTCATTGCTCTCTCCCCAACCTGTTTGCCCCACTGACCTACTGAGTACAATAGGGGCCTAACAGTGGGCAATGTCCTGGTGGGGGTGAGCAACACTTGCAGAGCTGGGGGCGTGCGCACAATATTCTGGCCTCTCAGAGATTCTCTGGGGACCCCACACATGACCAAAAATGCAAAAAATAAAAAAGAGCAACAGGAAATGGTTAGAAGTTCATATCCAGGTTCGAAAAATTGGTATTTGGAGGTTGTAACGGTGCAGAAAGGCCATTCAGCCCATTAAAAAGATGTCCTCTGCCTCATCCCGCCCAAGTGGGCATCCAGTGCCACTGAGAACATTTATGTGTATTAATGATAATTCATCATCGTCTTAGAACTGCAGAGCTGGAAGGGACCCTATGGATCACTGAGTCTGTGATAAATGATTTTAGACATCATTTTGAGTGTAACGAGTACTAGCTACTGTACTTTTAATGGAATTTTTAGCATTTTTAGAGGCATTTTGCTGCAGCCTTTTTCCCCCCAATTGTATGCCATTTTCTTGACAGTTTTCCAGAAAATCTTTTTAAATTTTTTAAGAATAGGGAAAAGGGATAAATAAGATAAAAGATTGGATGGTGAAGATGAAAGATAAAGGAAATATAAAAGATTTTGAGAGGAGAGGGGATTTCTTGGTTTAATATGATACAAATAGAAAGATGGACAAGGGAATGGAAAAGAAAGGAAGGGAAAAGTAGAAAAATGACAAAATTTGAAGCGATCATTGAAAAAAGATTGAAATCAGATGAAAAGACAGAAAGAAAGGGAACATTAAGTCAAATATATAAACTATTAATTCAGGTCGAACAGGATACATAAGGATTATGGCAGCATGATTTGTATAAAGAAGCATTAGGAGAAGAATGGTATAAAATGTGGGGCCAAAGACTTATGAAGAATATGTCTGTAAGGATAAAGGAAGACTGATAAAGTAATATGGAGGTGGTATTTAACGCAGGTAGACTGAATATAATACTGTAAAATGTATCATCACTATGTTGGAGGTGTAAAAAAGAGAAGAGGACGTATTTACATATGTGGTGGCTATGTGAAGTAAGAAAGAGAGAATGGAAGCAAATTTTTAAAGAAATAAGGGAAATAACTGGATTAAATATTCAGATGTCCCCGTGAATGGCTTTATTGAACATGGTTAAGAAAGATTAATTGTTGAAAGAAAATAAGGATTTAATTGTAGTAATGGTTACAGCAGCAAGGTTAATCTTTGCAAGAAACTGGAAAAATGATCACCAACCCGCGGGCTGCATGCGGCCCAGGTCGGCTCATAATGCGGCCCAGTGCAATTTTTTATTTTAAAAGAAATTCCAAAGTTTCAAGTTACACTGCCGGCGCTTGCTGCCGGAATGCGGCTGGGGCGCGTCACAACGGTGGGGGAGAGAGGGAAGGAAGGAAGGAGCGGGAGGGGAGGGGAGAGGGGGACTGCGTGACTGCATTGCGCCGTCCCCGTCAATAGGTGGACCCCCTCCAGGCCCCATAAAGCCCCCAGAGTCGTAGCTGGCAGCCTCTGCTGCCTGAGATCGCAGCTGCTGGTAAGCACGCTTGGAGCGGGACTGCAGAGGGCAGCTAGGGCTGCCCCCCCATGCAGCCCAAACCAAATTTATGTGCGGCCCAAACCAAATTTTCATCTTCTAATGTGGCCCAGGGAAGGTGAAAGGTTGGACACCCCTGATTTAGAGGAATGGTATAGAGAATTATGGGACGTGGTGGCGCTGCAGGCTAAACCGCAGAAGCCTTTGTGTGCTGCAGGGTCAGAAGACCAGCAGTTGTAAGATCGAATCCACGCGACAGAGTGAGCTCCCGTCGCTTTGTCCCAGCTCCTCACCAACCTAGCAGTTCGAAAGCATGTAAATGCGAGTAGATAAATAGGTACCACCTCGGTGGGAAGGTAAACAGTGTTCCGTGTATAGCCGTGCTGGCCACGTGACAACGGAAACTGTCTTCGGACAAAAGCTGGCTCTATGGCTTGGAAACAGGGATGAGCACCGCCCCCTAGAGTCGAACACGAATGACTAAAATGTCAAGGGGAACCTTTACCTTTACCTATAGAGAATTATGGGATATGACAATTAATGATAAATTGACATGTGGTATGAAAATAAGAAGAGGCCTATCAAAAAATAATGATTTTAAGAAAATATGGAGTATTTTCTTAGAATACGTATTTTGAAGAGGGAAGGGGCATACACCAAGGGAAGAAACAATTAATTTTTGTAGAGAAAATGGACTGAATGAATTTTTAAAAAATATTGTTAATACTAGCCCTGAGGGTTAAGGTGGCACTGGTGTTTTATGTATATGTAATTGTATTTTAGGTTTATGTTGTGTAAATTGGATGTTTCTTTAATAAAATAAAATTATAAAAAATAAAAAGGGTGTTTTCAGAAAAGTACAATAATGATCAAAATAATGTGTTCCCCTTCAAACACTGTAACAAGTGATGGCAATGAACTACTTTTCAAACACTGTAATGAGTAATGGGTACAGATTACTTTGTTTTTTTTTAAAAAAGGTAAATTCCCAAGCTCCAGACTTCAGTGTCACATTATATTCATTTTTCTTAAAATAAATTTTCAAAGCTTTGGAGAGAAATGGCTCATATTCATTTTTCTTGAAAGTAATTTTCTAAGCTCTGCTGCTTTGTCAAGAGAGTGCTACGGTGCAACATAAAACTTATTCAGTATGATGCAACTTGGAATGCAGTACATTCTGAGTGATGCATAAATTAATGCTATATATAAGGAGAAATGAACTCATTAAATTATGAAAGGATCCCATTGATCCAAAGCACTAATCTGAGGAGACTCTCTGCTGTATCTTTCTCTACATGGTTCCCTACCCTGGCCCTGCCTTGTTCTAACCATCATTTTCTGGTCAGGGAAGGAAATCGTGATAACACTCTTAGTTCAGAGACACAGCAACATTACATGCACTCAGAACATGTTATGTAATGCAGCTATGCATGAGTCACTGTTTTGGAATTGCCTCCTCTACCTTGTCTGAAGGTTATTCCAATTTTAATTCATTTTAAAAGATGCTTCAGATATATCAGATAACGATGTTTAAGACTGTTCACATATGAGCTCCTACTGTATATGAACAAAAATAGGCAGATATGGAATAAATCATATGTAAAACACCACAGAAATATCACTCCCTAGTTTGGTTTATTTTGTTTTTTACTTATTCAGAAGAGTTCTTTGTACTGTAACTCCAAACTGTTTACCTGCTTGATAAACATTAATTGGTCTGAAGCAAAGCACATTGCCTAATTAATACCTTTCGGTGGAGACCTACAGACAATACTAAATGAAAACAAATAATGGCTTGTCCCTATAAAATTACATTCTATTATTCACTACTATTGTTAAGTGCCATTGAGTTTAATGTGGCTTCCTCCAAATTAAGAGGGAACAGGAATGGTCTCTAAAGAATGCATGAAATATATATAAAAAAGGGCCAATTATGTAACATTTGTACATAGTTTTTAAAAAAATACTAATTTATAAGTCAAACGTAGTTTATTTATATCACACTTGTGGACTAAGTAATCCTTCTTTTGTGTGTATTATAAGGAAAGAATGCCCTCCGGTGTTTGGAATTTGCTGCTGTGAGCATATACAGTATTTATCACTGTCTGCTGGTCTCCAATAATGGCTGATAGAAACTTGGCTGCATCCCAGAGGCCTGCAGCCAGACTGGAAAGGATGCTTGTAAAAAAAAACACTCAAAAGCCTCAGCACAGCCAGAGGCTTAGACACTGTTTCACTTGTACATCAAAATCATTTGTTATTCAGTGCTAATGGTTGGTATTTAAAAAACACCAAGTAGCATCTTGGTCGGCATGAGATGTGGTT